GTACTTTTCCCCTAGGGTGGAAACGTGAAAAGTGAAAAGTTTCACGTGAACTCTATGATTTCGCGCGATCATGTACCTCTCCCAACCGCGGAAATATGAAACTTTTCACGTGAACTTTTTCGCCATGAAACTTGGTGGCGGAAAGGCGGAAATCTAGGGAATTAATAAATGTACTTCAGAATAAGAATAAATGTGGTACGGTACATATGTATATATATACATTCTTGTTAGCATTCATCAACATACAATTATAATAGTATAGTTATATCGTTTTAATAATATTTTTATGCATAATTATAATATGGCTGCAGTATGGTGGGTTTTGCAAATAGCTAATGAGGAAGAAAAGAATTTATTAAGAATACAGAGAAGACAACTGCGAGATGCAGTTAACCCTTTTGAAATTCCAGAATCACAATTTCTTTCTTTATATCGGTAGGTAAAAAAATACTTTAACAAGATTAAATATTAAAAATAAAAACATGAAGAAAAGTATAAAAATAAATTACATAAATATAATAATTTATATATTTTAAAGTAAAAATAATTTTTATACGTAGAACTTTGAATTTATTGTATCTTATTTATTATATATCTTGTTTATTTTATTTTATGTAACAGTGTAAATATATTGTGAATATAAATATATATATTAAAAATATTTAATGCACAGGCTTTCAAAAGATGCTGTGTTGGCATTATGCATAAACATACAACCTTATGTGCAAGAAGCTGTAAGACCAACAGCGATTCCATTGGAATTAAAGGTAAAATAATGATCAAGTTAAAGATAAATATGTATTATATCAAAATATACTGCTCACATGTTGCAAATTATAATAGTTATATGTAAGCTATTGTAAATATATCTTAATTATTGTTTTTTTAATTGTAAAGGTTCTAGCAACGTTAAATTTTTTAAGTTCAGGGTCCTATCAAAGAAGAGTTGGACAAGATTTTCTAAGCTGTATGTGCCAGGCATCTATTAGTGGTGCAATACATGAAATTATAAATGCAATAAATGTCATTATACCACAATGGATCAAATTTCCTGTGCAAGCTAATGAGATTGAGATAATCCAGCAACAGTGAGTCAATTAAACTATTATTTTCTCCAGTTGTAAAACATTAAAAAATAGTTTTTTGATTCCTTTTATCCAATTTTTATTAAAATATAAGAACATTTGCAACTTAAGAAATTTTTCATATTACAAAACATTAAGATACACAATCATATTTCAGATTCTGGATTAATACCAATTTCCCAGGTGTAATAGGAGCCGTTGATGGAACACACATAGCAATTTGGCCACCTGTTAAAAGAAGAGAACATTTATATATAAATAGAAAATTATACCATTCGTTAAATGTCATGATAGTAAGTAAAAATTTAATAGTAGATTATTTGTAATAGGAGAGGTGATCTTTCTCTCTACTACAACGAGCAGCATTTCATCGTAGCATAACATACAGGGCCGTAACAATGTAATTTGATAATTGAAAAGATTTGTATATCTCTTATGTAATAGAGGACAGAGCAAAACCCGATATTCTTTACTTGAGATATAAATATAAATATTAAAAGCATTTCTTATTAAGTTATACTTTATGTTATACTTTAGGTTAGTGATTATAATGGCAGAATATTAGCAGTAGTGGCGAATCATGGAGGTCGGACACACGATGCCAGAGTATGGAGTTCGTCTCGGTTATCAAGACACATGTTAAACCAGTATGAAAATGGAAGAAGAAATTTATGGTTGTTAGGTGAGGCTCTTATAATATATATATATATTTTTAAATAATTTTCTATAAATCTGAACTTTATATTTTACTAAAATTGATGTTAGTATTTTTAATTTTTGAACTTATGCTTTCTGTTTTAGGAGATTCTGGCTATCCATTGTTACCATATTTAATGACTCCAAAATTAAATCAACCACCAAGGTCTTCCAGGTGCGTTATACACAGATGCTCATGCTACAGCACGATGTTGCGTGGAGAAAACAATAGGAGTATTGAAAGGGCGTTGGAGATGCTTACGTAAAGAAAGAGGTTTACATTATTCTCCAGAATTTGCAGGTAATGTAATTTGTATTTTATATAGATATATAAAAAATATGTTTAAAATTACTGTAGAAATTTATTATCTTTATTTCAGCACTTATAGTAAATGCGGCTTGTGTACTGCATAATATTGCCAAACATTATAACATTGCAGATGGTGAAATATATAGAGAAGAGATTGAAGAGGATGATATTGAAGTAGAAGACAATATCTATGGAAATATGCGTGTAAGAGGAAATATAGTGCGAGAAACAATAATTCAAAGATATTTTGCATAAAAAACTTAATTTTATTTTATATTTTATGTATTACATAAAGAAATACTCATGTATTACAGAAAGAAGTATCACAGTTTTATTTATGTATCACGTAACTCAAACAAACAAAATAAAATAAAAATTATAAAATAAAGAAAATCAAATATAAAATTAATATTTTTTCGTGCATAAACTATATGAACGTGTTTAAACTGTGTAAACTAAACTATGCAAAAAAATATTTAATGTCAATTAAGTTCTTATTTGTATTAATATTTTGGAATCTATTTTTCATATTATAGTCTCAGTTGCAGCCCATGATTTTAAAGCTGCTTTTATCTCTATTAGTTCGGATAAAATATTCTTTTGCACTTTTAATGCCTTTTTCTTAAGTTTTACTTCCTTTTTTTTTAGTTTTACTTTTACTTCTTGTAGTTCTAACATGTTATATGATATTTTTTGCATTGAGTTTCCTATAATTTTAAAGTAAATATTCTATGAAAAAATTTATTATTAAGATGTATCAGGGCCAATTACACCAACGTTGATTAACTGTAACCTTCGGTTAAACTCACTCTTTATCTTTTTCTAACTGTTCCCTTATGCCGATTTCTACCAATGTAGAATAACTTTAATCTCGGTTTAACTTACTTTCTATCTTTTTCTAACTTTTAGAACTAGGAAAAGATGACAGGTAGGTTAAACCAAGATTAAAATTAACCTGCGTTGATAGAAATGGATATTAGAAATAGACGCGAAGAGTAAGTTTAACCGAAGGTTACAGTTAACCGACGTTGATAAAACTGGTCCTTAGTAAGATGTATTAGTAATTTTGCATATATTAATATGTAAGATTATTTTTATTACATAAGTTACCTCCTGTAGTATTCTTTATTTTTGTATTAACTTTTCTTCGTTTCTCTATATTATTATGTGGTGGTATATTTTCAGCATTTTCTATATTTCCATTATCTTCCTCAGTTATCATGTGCACGTCTTGTTCTATTGTTTCAGTATTTTCCGCATCTTGTATTGTTTGTTCTAAAATAGGATTTTCTTCCATGTTAATTCCACCTTCTGGAATGTTTTCCATACCAGCTGCCTCTGGTGTCAACAATTCCAAAACTTCCTCTTCAAAGTTTGAAAAAGCTATTTTTAAAGGCGGACCACCACCAGTCCCTTGCACATAACTGCGTCTTTTTGCTTCTTTTTTCAATATATAACTCTTTATGTCTTTCCATGTCTATATTAACAAAATTTTTTTATAGTTAATAATAAATAAATGTATTATTTAAGACAATTTTTGGCAATTATTTGGTACATATATTAAAGTTGCCATCAGTAGTTGCTATTGGTATTGGTGCAATTTGGTACACTTTGGTTGCTTATACTAGAAGCACGTTAAAAATCACCTTTAATATTATAAAACTAAATAATAAAAATAAAATTATATAACCTTTGCCCATTCTTTACCACTTTTTTGAGGACCTTCGAGAATTGTATTGATGCCTTGTGCAATTTCATCCCACAATTTAGCCTAAAAATATTTTGTAAAAAATAATTATTTATTTAACATTTTCAATAATACATGTAATAATACTTTTAATTTACCAAATGTAATCGACTCTCGGTTTTTCTGTCTATTCTTCCCGTCACTAATTCGGGATTGCATTTTAAATAATTTAACAACATTTCCTTTTGTTTCATAGTCACATTCATGTTTTATATTTTTGTCTGTCAAGTTATAGGTTATATTATTTTGCGGTTTGTCGTATATGCAGTGCTGTACTGATTTCACTTTCCACGCATTCAAGCTACATTACATGATCGCTATACGTGAAAAGTTTCACGAGAAATCTGGATGAGTGAAAAATGAAAAGTGAAAAGTGAAAAATGAAAAGTGAAAAGTTTCACGTGAAAATACATGATCGATGCCCAG